CACCTCCACCAAGGTCCCTGCCAAGCCCCACAGACCTCTCAGCCTCTACTCTATGTACCCAGAGGTGCTGGGAACACTGTGGTGCCCCTGGAGGGCAGACAGCCCTAGTGAGCCACCCACAGTCCCCACACAAGTCCAGGGAAGGATAGAGAATAGACTCTACCTGGTTCTACAGAACACTCTGTCCTGGGGATTGAACTCAGGGCCTGGGTGCTGTTCCTGAGCTTTTCTTGTTGAAGGCTGGAGTTCTATTATTTGAGCCATAGCTTCACTTCCAGTTTTTTGGTGGTTTACTGGAGATAAGAGTCTCACCGACTTTCCTGCCTGGCCTGGCTTTGAACTGCGATCCTCAGCTGTCAGCCTCCTGAGTAGCTAGGATTACAGGCGTGAGCCACTGGCGCCCAGCCCGAGACCCTGAGATTTGACAGCACGGCCTCGTCTCTGGTGTGGACCTTCACCTGTGAACACACACCTACCAGTAGTGCCCAGATGAAGGCCCTCACCCAGAGCCTGAGAGACCTTGGGCCTCACCACAAACAGCCGCCTCAGGTGGACAGTGTGGTTCAGAGGGATGCAGGGTGGCAGCAGGAGGAAGCCAGCTCACCAGCCCTCTAAGGCAGCATGGACACCCACGCCCTGGGCAGCTGAGCCGCTCTAAGCCAAGCGCAGAGCCGGCAGATCGGATTTGCCTATCTGGAGGATCATGTCCCACCCCACTCGCTGCCCACGTGCAGGGAGGGGGCACCACAGGACCAGGCCTGCAAGAGCAGGAGGCCCCCAGGGAAGATACCAGCCCGGCCCAAAGCCTGTGGGCCTGGGCCCCAGACGCTCACCGACACACAGCACACCCAGCCGCGGGGCGGGGCTCAGTCCAGAAGGGGTGGAGAGACAGCACCTCACAGACCAGCAGCCACACAGCCAGGGCCTCTCCAGGCATCCCCAGCACTCACATGGCTGGGCAGCTAGAAACAGCCTGGGGCAGAGAGCGGGACCCACGTCCACCTCAAGCTGGACGTACCCCAGTATCTGTGAGACCAAGGGACAGCCCGGAGACCAGTTCACCGCAGGCCATCCTGCCCAGCAGGACCGCTTGGGGTCATCCCAGAGCAGTGGTGGCCAAGAACCTGCACACAGCGGGTGAGCAAGGCTCCCCAGGGCCAGGGGCATGAGCAGCTGCCTTGCACCATTTATCCCAACTTCCCTAAATAGGCCTTCTTTATTATTATTAATCTGGGAGCTTAGGCCAAATTTTTCTCTCAGAACAATATGCAAAATTGGAAGCAGGCACCAAATCTGCAGAAATCGGACCCAGGGCACCTGAAGCTCACAGAGGCGGCAATGGACACCCACCCGACAGTCCCGCCAAGGACTGACACCCACCCACCTGAGGACCCACAACCGCCCGACAGTTCCCTCCAAGGCAGGCTTGCTCGCAGCAGGCTGCAGGCCTCGCACTCAGACTCACACATGAAGGCAAGAGTCACAGCTCCAGTCTACCAGGGGAGAGAACTGGGCAGAGCCTGGGAACCTGGGTCCCTTCTGGGCAGTCAGTGCACGGAGACCTTAGACATCAAGACGCTGACCATGGCCACCCCGGCTCACAACATGGCACCATCTCTACAAGGCTGCAATTTCACAGCAATGGCTTCGTGCAAGTTTCCATTAAAAAATAAAACACTCGGGACTGGGAAGCTGGCTCAGTGGTGGAGCGCTTGCCTTGCATGCATGAGGCCCTGGGTTCGATTCCTCAGCACCACATAAGCAGAAAAAGCTGGAAGTAGCTCTGTGGCTCACGTGGTAGAGCTTGCCTTGAGCTGAGGGACAGCACCCAGGCCCAGAGTTCAGGCCCCACGACTGGACCCCCCCCAAAAAAAATCCTGGGGTGATGCTGCCCTTCAGTGGTAAAGCACCTGCCTACTCCCCCCTGATGGAGAATTCAACTCCCAACGCTAGAAACAATAAGTTAACTAAAAACAGTAAAGCAAAAGAAAACAAGAACACAGGGAGTTAACATCTAGACACTGGTGCCGGGCAGGACAGCTTGGGGAGAGGAGGCATCACAGTGGCTGCAGGCCACGTGTTGTGCTTCTGGGTTTTGTTTTTGTCATCTCCGGCAACTACCTTAAAACCCAAAAACAAAAAGCAAAGCAAAAGAATGAGGGTCATGCCTGTCATCCCAGCCACTCAGGAGGCTGAGATCTGAGGATCGCGGTTCAAAGCCAGCCCAGGCAGGAGAGACCGTGAGACTCTTATCTCCAATAAATCATCAGAAAACTGGAAGTGACACTGTGGCTCTAGCCTTGAGTTGAGGGACAGCGCCCAGGCCCAGAGTTCAAGCCTCACGACCAAAAAAAAAAAAAGAGGGTAACTTGCAGTAAAAGAAAGAAGTCCAGGGGCTGGGAAGGTGGCTCAGTGGTAGAGCGCTTACCCTGCATGCCTGAGGTCCTGGGTCCTCAGCACCACATAAGCAAAAAGACAAAAGTCGGAAGTGGCGCTGTGGCTCAAGTGGTAGAGCACTAGCCTTGAGCTGAAGAGCTGAGGGACAGCGCCCAGGCCCAGAGTTCAGGCCCCATGACCGGACCCAAAAAAAAAAAAAAAGAAAGAAGTCCAGAGCAAACGGTGACTAGTCTTTCAACTTAAAAAAAGAACCCCCCCCCCACACACACACACACACAAGCAGCCCAGAGGTGAGGCAGCCATGAGCGCTCCTCTTCTGTTTTGAAATGCCACCCACAGTTTATACTAGCCTGGTGAAGCAGTGGTCTGCTCCAGGGCTCGGCGCCACAGCTGGTCCAGATGTGCTTGCTCTCGGCACGAACAGCCTCCAACTGCAAAGCCCTGCAACCCTGGCCCTGCTTCCAACCTCACTCACAGATGCCGACAGAGGCCTCAGTCCATGCCAGCCCACTTCCCAGGGAAGAAGCAGGCCATGTTCCCTCCTGGGATGACCACTTCGTCCAGCCAGTCAGCTGGCACACACCATGGCCATGGCACCTTCGCCCTGCCCAGCCCAGCAGGAGCTCAGGACAGCTGCCAGGCGGGGAGTGCAGCACCCAGACACGGCACGGCCACAGACCCTGCTCGGGACATATGTGGAATCAGGCCCGGGTGTCCCTCTGGAATTCAGACCTGACTGGGCATCCTGTCCTTTGTTTGCTACATGTGTCCCTCAACACAGAGGTCCGAGAGGTCCCGCTGGCCACTCCCCCGGGCCGGGGCAGGCTGCCCAGATGGCCAAACCTCAGGCAACAGCCGACAGAACAAGAGGCCTGCTCAGAATGGCATGGATCCCTCTCCATCTTGTGGAGAGTTGCAAATCCAGCAGCCAAGACCTGGACCACCATGACCACCAGGCCCTGCTGGGACACACAAGATGGCACCCACAGGCCACGCCAGACAGCGGGGACCCCGCGGATTTCTCTCTACAGGGTCATGATGATTGAGCAATGTCCGAGGTGCAGGGACCCCCTCCCCCATTTCTGTCAGCACCACCCACACAGCCCGGGTACGGCAGCCAGGCTCTGCAGGGCAGGGACCATGACCTGACCCTGTTCCTCAACGGGTGCCTCCACTGCCACTGTTACGTGGGGTCCAGCCGCAGACTCCCGTGGAGCCCCAGGCTCAGCCTGCACACCAGGGCCTGGACAGACGGTCAGTGAGGCCCATGGAGAAGCACTGAGATAAATTCCCATTCACACCAGGGGAAACTGAGGCACAGAAAGGTCCTAGGATGGCCAGGCCAGCAACAAGTTCACAGGCAGATAGGTCTGAAGGCCAAGAAAATAGTTCATACAACCCAGGAGAACCTAGCTGGGCATCCAGGGTGGTGTCTGGCAGTGGTAGGGGCAAGGGTTCCCAGTGGGGTCTGCCTGGAAACCTAACCACAGCACCCTCCTCAGGCCGGGGAGCGGCCTGGCGCCAGGGGCTGTCAGCAGTGCCCGGGGGAGCTCTGCCGTGAGCCTCCCCGCGGAGCCATTCATTCATTCCAGCACACAGCAGCCCCGACCAGAAACCACAGCAGGAGACAACTCAGACCCAAAAGTGCAGGGCAGAGAAGGGAGGTAAGAGACCAGGACAATAGGGGCTCTTCGCAGATGGAGAACCTTCCAGAATGCGGGAGCTGGAGGCCCTGGGTAAGAAGCTACTGGGTCAGCAGGGGCCATGGGCCTCACTGTGAGGCAGGAAGGGCTCGGCACTGCCCACAGCCCCAGGGGCCCAGCAGCGCCAGCAAGGCTGTCCAGGCCCCCAGGGGCTGGGCAGAGGACCCGGCGCGGCCCGGCCGCCTCGGGAGGGCTTCCCGGTGCTTCCGGGGGAGCTCCCGGGGCTCCGGCCTGCTCCCCACTCGCGCCCGGCACCCCAGGCCGCGCCAGGGGGGAGGGCCAGGCCGGGCCGCGCTCGTCCGCGCCCGGGGTGGAGGCAGGGGCGCGGGCCGCAGGGTGGGCCCCGCGGAGGGCAGGGCCGGCCGGGCACCGGCCGCCCGCGGGCCAGGGCCCAGGTCAGCCGGGCCGGGCGGGGCAGGGCCGGGCCGGGCAGGCGGCGCGGCGCGGGGCCTGGCCGCCGGGAGGCCCCGGGCCCTCCGCCGGGCCGGAGGGGCGGGCGGCGGCCAAAAGTTTGGGGTGACTCAAGCCTGCCCGGGACGAAGGCCCGGTGGGGCCGACCCCCGCCGCGGGCCTCCCGGGGCCGGATGCGGAGGGGCCCCGCGCGGAGGGGCCCGGGGCGGGCGCGGCCGCTCGGCCGGCCCCGCGCCCCCCGCCCCTCCGAGCCACGTGCTCGGGCCGGGGGCCCCGCGGCGCCCCGCCCGCGCCCGCCCGCGCCCCGGGCCCCCAACAGGTGGGAGGCCGCGCTCCGCCCGCGCCCGCCGGGCCCAGGGGCCATTTTGGGTGAGCGCGGGGTGGGGGGGCGGGAGAGATGGGGGCCGGGCGGGGCGGGGGCCGGGCGCGGGCGCGGGCGGCGGGCGCGGGCGGCGCGGCCCGCGCATAAAGGCCGTGGCGGGGCCTTACCTCCGACCCTGTACATGTTGGCGGCCATGTCCGGGCCGGCGGCGGGGCCGCGGGCGGGCGGGCGGGCGCGGGCCGCGGCGGGCGGGCGCGGGCCGGGGCGGGGGCGGGCGCGGGGGCGCCGGCGGGCGGTTTAAAGGGGCCGCGCTGCTCCGCCGCCGCCGCCGCCGCCGCCGCCTCCGAGGCCGCGCAGGGACGGGAGGGCCGCGCGCGGGCGGGAGAGGAAGAGGAGGAGCGGCCGCGGGCGGCGGGGAGGGGCCTCGGGCGCCGCCGCCCACCGCGCGGGCCGTTACCCGACCCCGCGCGCCCGCGCCCGCGGCCTGGGCCTCGGCCTCCGCGGGGGCCTGCCCGCGTGGGCCCGCCGCCCTCCCCGCACATCCTCCCCGCGTGGGCCCGCCGCCCTCCCCCGTGGGCCCGCTCCCCTCCCCGCGTAGACCCGCTCCCCTCCCCGCACATCCTCCCCGCGTGGGCCCGCCGCCCTCCCCCGTGGGCCCGCTCCCCTCCCCGCGTAGACCCGCTCCCCTCCCCGCACATCCTCCCCGCGTGGGCCCGCCGCCCTCCCCCGTGGGCCCGCTGCCCTCCCCCGTGGGCCCGCTGCCCTCCCCGCGTGGGCCCGCTGCCCTCCCCGCAATCCTCCCCGCGTGGGCCCGCTGCCCTCCCCCGTGGGCCCGCTGCCCTCCCCGTACATCCTCCCCGCGTGGGCCCGCTCCCCTCCCCCGTGGGCCCGCTGCCCTCCCCGCACATCCTCCCCGCGTGGGCCCGCCGCCCTCCCCCGTGGGCCCGCTGCCCTCCCCGCACATCCTCCCCGCGTGGCCCACTGCCCTCCCCCGTGGGCCCGCTCCCCTCCCCCACGTGGGCCCGCTGCCCTCCCCGCGTGGGCCCACTGCCCTCCCCGCGTGGCCCACTGCCCTCCCCCGTGGGCCCGCTCCCCTCCCCCACGTGGGCCCGCTGCCCTCCCCGGACACCCTCCTCCCGTGGAGCTGCCCCATCCCTAGGTGGCCCGTCCTGCTCACCCCTGTTGGAGTGGGCCCTCCCCACTCCCTGGTCAGACCTCTGTGGACTCCTCCCGCCCTCCCAGGTGACCCTCCGAGCTCCACCTACCTGGAGAGAGCAGGCCTGTGGGTCCAGCCTTGGACTGCAGGCCCCTGCCCCTGCCTCCCTTCCCAGATCACCCTTTCCACCCAACAGATAGCCTGTGTGTGTGCCCTCATCTGCAGCTGTGATCATCCCTAGACACCCTCTCTCCCTGAACGGACAAGACCTCCCTGGGCCCTGGCCTGGTGAGAAGACCAAGGTGGCCAGGCACTGGTGGCTCACACCTGTCATCCCAGCTACTCAGGAGGCTGAGATCTGAGGATCACAGTTCAAAGCCAGCCCAGGCAGGAAAGTTCATGAGACTCTTATCTCCAATGAACCACCAGAGAACCAGAAGTGGTGCTGTGGCTCAAGTAGTAGAGCACTCGCCTTGAGCTGAAGAGCTGAGGGACAGCGCTCAGGCCCAGAGTTCAAGCCCTATGACCAACCAAAAAAATAAGATGACCAAGGAGAAGAGGGCCTTAGCTCAGAACGTTCTCTCCCACGGGTCCCAGGACCCCACAAGCCTCTGACCAGAACCAACAGGGATCCAGAGCTGGGCAGGCAGTGTCTCTGTGAAGAGGGGCACCTCCCCTTCCTCTGGCACCAACGGGGATTTATGGAGATTTGTTTGCTTTTGTGCTCATTTGAAGTCTGTGGTGGAGCGCTTGCCCAGCATGCATGAAGCCCTGGGTTCCCTTCCTCAGTACCACATACATAGAAAAAGCCAGAAGTGGCACTGTAGCTCAAATGGTAGAGTGCTAGCCTTGACCAAGAGAGGCTCAGAGACAGTGCTGTGTGTGTGTGTGTGTGTGTGTGTGTGTGTAAGGTGTTGGCTCCTGCCTTTAATCCTAGCTACTCTGGAAGCTGAGATCTGAGGATTGGTATTCAAAGCCATCCCAGGCAGGAAAGTCCATGAGACTCTTACCTCCAGATAATCAGCAAAAAGCTGGAAGTGGAGCTGTGCCTCAGGTGGTAGAGCATTAGCCTTGAGCTAAAAACTCAGGGGCAGCATCCAAGCCCTGAGTTCAAGCTCCAAGACAGTCACCAAAAGCAGAGAGCACTGGGTCACTGCAGGGTTTAGGCAGATAGGTGATCAGGGGCTCAGGACCCATGCACAGCACCGATGGTCCCTTCCAGACTCTGGCCAGTAAACCAGCTGGGTCCTGAGACCAAACATGGAGAATCCCAAGGAGGACCCAGACCATCACAGCATGAGGTGGGAAATGCTACTGGTTAGCAGATGGGAACTGGGAACTGGAGCTGCCCAAACTGCTGCCAGATGCAGGCCAGGGAAAGCAGAGGCCCTGGGAGGGCTGCGTGGTCAGTGAGTGCTTGCTTTCTATTGGATTGTCATAGGCAGGAAGTATTAGAAGTGGAAGCATAGAAAGCAGGTGGTGATATACTGCAGTCTCCCCAAATGGGTGGACACAGAGCTAGCCTTCGTGTGCAAATGTGGCATAACAGAATTTCTTCATCAATAACTAGGAATTGGCATGCCAGCATCTGCCTCCCTCCCGAGAGGACAGGCTCCAGCACAGCAGACTGTGTGACCACACGAGAACCATTCAGCCCCCGCTACTGAAGAGAGGCCCGCTGAGGAATGGCTGCCAGAACACAGATCTTCCTATCATCCAGGCTGACTTCTGAGGGGAACATCTAAATTCCAACCCAGTGCAGAGTGGCATTTACCTCAGAAGAGGTAGGAAGCTGGGTGCTGGTGGCTAATACTTGTCATTCTAGCCACTCGAGAGGTTAAATCTGAGGATCACAGTTCAAAGCCAGGAAAGTCCATGAGACTTATCTCCAATTAACCACTAAACAGCCAGAGGTAGGGCTGTGGCTCGAGTGGTAGAGTCCAGCTTTGAGCAGGAAAAGCTAGCAGGCAGTGATGAGGCCCCAAGTTCAAGGCCCAGGAGCGGCGCGCGCACACACGCACACACACACACACACACACACACACACACACACACACGAGGCAAGTACCTAGCACTGGCAGGTGGACCACTCTGCTTTCTCTACAGACTATGAAGAAGGTAGACTGACAACATCACCTGACCTTAATCTGGCTCCAAGGCAAGCAGAAGCTCTCAGGCAGTGGTAAAAGGGACTAAGAATTTGTCCATTTGGTAGCAGAGCAAAAGACATCAGGAGAGAGTGCTGCTGCTGATGCAGAGCAGGCTCAGGAAGTGGCACGGTGACACCATTTGGCTCCCCTAACATCGGTGGAAGGAAGGGCACAGGGCAGGTGGAGACCCAGCAGGGAAGAGAACCCACGGGAAAGACACTGCCGCGGGAGTGCTGCGCTTCAAAGAGCACAGGCCTAAGCTAGGAGCTCAGAGGCACGTGAACAGCACAGCACAAAGGAGGCTGGCGCCTGGCATCCTAGCCACTCTGGAGGCTGGGATCTGAGGATCGTGGTTCAAAACCAGAAAACTGGAAGTAGGGCTGTGGCTCAAGTGGTACAGTGCTAGCCTTCAGTGAAAAAGCTCAGAGGGACAGTGCCCAGCACCTGAGTTCAAGCCCCAGGACACACACCACACCACACACACAGCACCAGGAGAGAATTAAGAGCTGTAGGAAGTCACAGGCAGCAAGAGAAAGATTCTTGAATTACTAAAGGGAGAAAGGCCATTTCAGGGTAGGACAAGTATAAAGCAAGTAAACTGACTCATTCAACTGTTATTTTCCTGAACCCCTGCTTCGTGCCACAAACCGCTGTGGACGGGCAAGTTAAAGGAACAAGGCTCTGGCAAGTTTACCGCCCAGCAGGAGAGATGAACAGTGCAGGATGTCATGAGGTGTTGAGTGCCTTCCAAAAGCAAGAACAAGGGCGCAGCCACCATGCTGAGGGGCCCTGCTTATCTGGGGAGGGCAGGGCAGGAGGCAGAGGCGAGCTATACTCTGAGGCTGCCACCCAGGGGCCAGGGGTCAGTTGGCAGGCCCAGCTCCCCTGCGCAGGACCTTGTTGGGCCGTGGGTATTTTGGCTTTACCTCTGGAGGCTGGGATCACCTGAGCTGTGTTTCCAGGGATCCTGGGGCTGCCGTGTGGTGAGGGAGGCTGCCCAGCACAAGGCTGGGGGCATAGGACCACAGAGAGTACTCACAGGCTTCAGGAATGTCTCCAAAATGACAGCTGAACCTGCGTGGGAGAGGGCCACAGCATGTTCTAGAAAATCAGGCAGCATGATTCACACTGAGGCCTCTTGTGTGCTCGTTACTGAACTTCAAAGGTTAACGGGACCTTTTTTTTTCTTCTTCAGAAAAAGCCTGTGTCAGACCAGCTGTCTGGTTTCTCCAGCACCAGTCAAAGCCCTGAGGAAAACAACCCTAACCCTTTCCTCAGCCATGCTCTCACAGGTGTGAAGGCCTCAGAAAAAACATTTTCTTAGAATTTAAGTCCAACAGTAGAAGTTGGAGAATGTAAGTGGTCCAGATCCTTCCTCCCTGGCACGAGAGTGCTGGCCTGATAGAATCACTTTTGCCAGCCTGAAACACTAGAGTAAGTGCCAAGGTGCAAAGATGGGACCAGGCCGGGCGCCGGTGGCTCACGCCTGTCATCCTAGCTACTCAGGAGGCTGAGATCTGAGGATCTCGGTTCAAAGCCAGCCCGGGCAGGAGAGACGTGAGACTCTTATCTCCAATAAACCACCAGAAAACCGGAAGTGGTGCTGTGGCTCGAGTGGTAGAGCACTCGCCTTGAGCTGAAGAGCTGAGGGACAGCACCCAGGCCCAGAGTTCAAGCCCCACAGCCAAAAAAAAAGATGTAACCAGCCTCACCTCACCAGTTAAGAGCCAGAGCCGGAACCATCCGAGTACAAGCCAGCCGGAGAGCATGCGTACCACCCTTCATGCTATTGCATGAGCAAGCTAAGAGAATCTTTTAAATTTGGGGGAAGAAGTCATTCGATAGATATTTTTATTGTTGTTGGTCGTGGGGCCTGAACTCTGGGCCTGGGCGCTGTCCCTCAGCTCTTCAGCTCAAGCT